GCGCAGGCGGCCTCTGCCCCGGGGCCGCAGGAACCGCCGGAGCCGCGGGCCGGGTCCCCAGGGCGGAAAGTTCCGCGGAGCCGAGGCTCGGGTCACGGTTCACGGGCTCTTTCCACTTGGCCCGGGTTCCCGCCCCGCCTCCGCCTCTCCGGGAGCCTGAGGTCAGAAGGTGGCGGGCCCGACCCGCCCGGCGAGGGGCGTAGACGGTGCGGTGACTTCACAGCGAGGGTCACGAGGTCTGGGCGGGCGAACCGGGGCCTCCCGCGCGGAGCCCCGGCGGCCCGCAGATTACGGATCGGGAGGGGGTTAGGGCGTGACTGCGGCCCCGCTAAGTTATATAAACAAAACACGGAGCCAGAGCAGCGACCCCCTGAAACACGGGAGTAGGAAGGGTTTTTACCCAAGTTGTTTGTGGCTTCGTATCTGGAACTAGTTGGCAGGAGACACACGACCGGTCAGCATTAATTTCTGTGGAAAGAGGCTCAAACGGGGGAGTCAGGAGAGCTGGGTGGCAGTCCTAGCTCTTGGGGCTGTGAGCCCCCTGAGACTCAGTTTCCTCTCCGCATCCAGGGCCGCCGCGCGCTGCCGCCCAGTCCTCTGCTGCCAGAGCTGCAGGACCGGGGAAGCAGAAGGGCGGTGATTGTCACACCCAGAGGGCGGAACGACCTGACACTGAAACGGGCTTCACAGCGGCACACTCCATCTTTAGACTGTTAGCCTTTTTTAAGTCACAAAAATAAAAATACAGTAGAGATTATTGCTCTCCACCCCCTGTAACAGACCGGAGGATCCTTCATTCCTCCCTTCCTAAGGCCCCACGTGCAGACGCAGGGCTCGGGCTTTGGATTTACACGGTGGGTCCTGTTTTGGATTGCATTTCTTGCACAGCGTTCTGGAAGCAGTGGTTTACCCGGCCTTTTTCTTACTGTGGAGCATCGTGTCTCCAGCTTACCGTTGGGCCATGCTGCGTACACATCCTTGTACATTCTGTGTACTGACAGCTTTCCTGCTCTACTCTGGGAAGAAACTTGAATGTAGTTTATTTTCAGATGGGACTAGCTTACTTAGGAAAGCTCCACTGGTCTTGGTGAAGAAATCTGGGTTTGAAGACTGTTCTCTCATTTACTCATGGCTTTGTGACCTTGGGCTTTTTACTTAACCTTTTGGATGTGGGGATCAGACTGGATACTATGTTGTTACTTCTACTTCTGGGATTAGTTTTGGAGTTCTTTGTATTTCCCCTGCACATACCCCATACCTTCCTACCTCCATGCCTTGTCCAAGCAGTTCCCTCTCCCTGAAGTGGGTCTGTCGTGTCCACTCCGACTCCTTACATGTAACTTTATTTTTTTACTTTAGAGAGGAAGGGGGGAGAGAGAGAAAAACATTGTTTGCCTCCCATACCTGCCCTGACTGGGCTGGGGATCGAATCCACAACCCAGGTATGTGCCCTGACCTGGAATCAAACCTGCCACCTGTTGATGTCCAGGATGACACTCCAACCAACTGAGCTAGCTGGCCAGGGCCTTATGTATCTCTCACCTGTCCTTCAAAGCCCCTCTGCACGAAGCCTTTTCTTTCTCCATTCCCCAAAGCTAGAAATACTCTCCTGTGCTGAGCCTCCCAAAGCCGCCTCTTTTATCACTTTTAAACCCAAAATCATAGGTTAGTTCAATGTGTATAGATATCTTTTTTGCATGGTAGTAAGTACCCTGTGTCAGGATCTTTGCCGCAATCATCTTTGTGATCAGCACCAGCTCTGGTCCTCACCTCTGATAATAGCTACTCCGTCAGTGTGCGGTGGGGCCTGGAGCACCGTGACTCAGGGTGGGAAGAAGGCTAGCAGCCATAGACTTGGTACACGGTCATGCTAGTTTAGGCCTCTGTTGCAGAAGTTATTTTTATAGGTAGTTTCTATACATCATACATGGTTTGCCTTTATGAGATGCAAGATAAGTCCTTTCTCCCCCAGGAAGTCAACAGCAGATAGTCTTAAGTTCTCTCAGATTTCAATGACCGTGCCTGTGCCTATGTGGACTTTCCCTCAGGCCCGCTCCCCGGCTGTTGTGCACAGCTGCGAAACAGAAGAACGGCCAGAACCCAGAAGACGACGGACACAGTGAGCAGCAGACAGACGCTCCCTCTGCAGAGAAGACACTCATGGGGGAGAAGGTCAAGTTAGAAGAGCAGCTGAAGGACACTATGGTAAGGCCGCAGGCTCTTGTGGGGAAGCTGATCAGTTGAATGTCAGGCGAGGCCAAGGACTATGGTTGGGTCCTGTAGCAAGTTACTGCTAAAGAAGGGACTAGAACCCAAGTCCTGTGTGGCTCTGGTTCTGCCCTGAGACTCATCTTTGCTCATGATTATGTTGAACTAAGACTTAAAATGTTTTTTACAAACAAGGAATGCCAGCAGAATGGTTTCAGCTGGGTCTAAGGGGAGGGCAGGGGTTGGGGAGGTAGGAGTTTATGAACTAGGTGGTAACATGGGTTGGGACTCCATGTGACAAAGCACAGGTGGCAGTCCTTTCAGGATTTAGGAATGGCAGGATCAGACATTTAGGTGCTGACTCTGTCCTAACGTCCTCACAGCCATCCTGTGAGTTAAACTGCTAACATCCCTGTTTACAGACAAGGAAACTGAGGCACAGGAGATTAAGTAAACTTCCCAAGGTCACCTAGCTACCGAGTGCTAGAGCCAGGGTTTGAGCCTCAGAGACCTTGCCCTTTACCACTGCACTGGAATTGCCTGAATGAAGACTGGAAATGGGGTGGGGGTGTCCCCCCAGAGTAATCTAGTACATGTTAAAAACTGATGTGCTCGGGGTGGGGGTGGGGGGCGAATGTGAGATTACAGTCAAGTGGTGAGAAATCAGGACAAGCCCGTAATTCAGATTATTACACAATAAATGTTGGAACTTTGCCACATCTGGGCAACAGTAAAAATACCAGAGGTTCGTTGATGGGCTTTTGTCTCTTCCATGGGGTAGGGGCCTAGACTGTCCACCCGGCCTTGTGGTTCTAAACCTCCTTAAGGTTGGGAACCCCGTGGGTCAGCCCCTAACGAGGGTGCTCGATCCCTTAAGTTGGACTCTGCTGAGGAGTGAGTGGTCCTTCCTTGAGAGGTGCTGAGGCCGTCAGAACCCTGAGAAAGTTTTTTCTTTTTCCACAGCTTTCCACTGAGTAAGAAGGGCCATGGGGGCTACATAAGTATCTGTCACCTTGACATCTTACTCCCGCTCGGAACAGTGACAGGTGTAACTTACTTCTGAGTTCAGCTGCACTGTCTACAGTCCAGAATCTCAAACACGATAGACGCCGGTGTCCTGACTGGCACTTGGTTGTCAGGTTTGCTTTCCTGTGAACTTGTGCCATGCTTTATTCACGTCAGGTTCCTTTTCCTTCTGTTTTTAGGAAAAATACAAGCGAGCTTTGGCAGATACTGAGAACTTGCGGCAGAGGACCCAGAAGTTGGTGGAGGAGGCAAAGTTATATGGTAACTTTTAACATTATATGATACTGACCTGGAAAAATGTGGGTACAGAAGGTGCATACGTGCATGTCACACAGCAAGATCAGCCGGGGTGGGGAGCCTGCTGGTTGTCTCCCCACCCCCACCACCCCCTTTTTAAGGAGAACTTGGAGTCATGACCAACTTTTAGAATTGTAAACTAGACTCCTGCAGTCAGGAGGGTGCTCAGTGCTGTCCACATGGAGACCTCGGTGTGAACCTGCAGGTCGTTCTGGCAGGCTGGCCTCCCTGGTGTCCATTTCCTTAGCATCACCAGCAATAGCATTGGTGCCACTTAAGATCTCAAGTGCTGCCTGCGTTGTCACCTTTAGGTATTTGTCACTGTCCTTCCCACTTTACAGTTGGGATCACTGAGGCTTAATGACCTGCACTCATCACAAAGCTAGTAAGCAATGGCCCCAGCGCCCACCCCGTCCATGTGCTTATTAGACCTGAGGCTGCCATAGGAGGACTTGGGGCACTGCCAGGCACTTTCCTGCCCGAGCTCCTGGTGAGGAGCCCCAAGCTCACGGTGCGGTTGCTGCAGTTGGGGGCCTTGGTGGAAGCAGGTGCCTGTTTGAGGGCTCTTGTCACCCCTGACTTCCAGTTGGCATCTGAAACGTTTTTTTGAAATCACAAAACGTATGTAATACGCTGCCGTGAATTCTGAGTGACTTTTCTAATGTTCTCTCTCCTGTTAGATGAAGGTGAAGGCTTGGGGTGTGTCTTGGTAACTTTTACCCCACGGTGCCTAACAGTTGCAAACATTTATTGAGTGCTATAGTGTTCCGGCACTCTGAGCGTGTACGGCTTTTCCTATCCTTGCTCCACTGGTAGGCACTGTTACCCGGCTTTATAACTGAAGGAGCCATGACCCAGAGAGGTTGACCAGGATCACACGGCAGCGAAGCTGCAAGCCAGGAGTGTGGCTCCAGGCTCCAAGCAGTCTGGCTGTCCTGGACAGGGTCTGTGCCTCTGCTGGAGCAGGCAGTTCCTCCTGGTCTAGAGCAGGGCTGGTGGTGAGGTCGTTCTGCAGATTTTCAGCTGCCAGCCTTCATACCTAATTGGCTCTTGTCTAAACCCAGAAAAGGTTTTTGGTTTTTTGTGGGGGGTTTTTTCAATCAAGCCTCTGAAATCAGTTTTGAGTTGCCACTCAGTTGCTGTGGCTGGAATGCAAATGCTCTCCTCTGACTTTGTTCAGGCATCCAGGGCTTCTGCAAGGACTTGTTGGAGGTTGCAGACATCTTGGAGAAGGCCACACAGTGTGTTCCCAAAGAAGAGATCACAGATGACAACCCCCACCTGAAGAGCCTCTACGAGGGGCTTGTGATGACCGAGGTGCAGATCCAGAAGGTGTTCACAAAGCATGGCCTGCTCCGGCTGGACCCCGTGGGTGCCAAGTTTGACCCCTACGAGCACGAGGCCTTGTTCCACACACCCATGGAGGGGAAGGAGCCAGGCACGGTAGCGCTGGTGAACAAAGTGGGCTACAAGCTGCACGGGCGCACCCTGCGGCCTGCCCTGGTGGGGGTGGTGAAGGGAGCATAGCTTCCCTGGGTGTGGGGGTGGTTCTGGGTAATCACTGGCTGTAGCTCTTAAAGGGCTGGTTCATCCGTCTCATCTGTGATACTCCTGACCCTTCCCAAACCTTGTTGGAAAGCTTTAGTAACCAGCGGCTACAGAGAATAGGCTGGTAGCACAGCTACGGTGCTGGACTCTAATTTGGGAGCCTGTTTGTTGATTTTCAATACACCTTTAATAGCCCACATGCTACAGAACAGGCCGACAGGACCCATTGGGCCCTAGAGTATCATGAATAACGCTACATTGCTCAAAGTCTGATGACATCCAAGTATTTTAAATGAATAAAAGGTCTTCAGGAATCATGCTGTTTGGCTAGTGGGCCACCCGTCTGCCCTGTGCGTCTCTGCTTCTCACTTCAGCGCGAGATCAGGAATCCTCTGCCCTCTACATCTCAGTCAGTGAAGGAAGGCAGGACTTTAAGCTTTGTTTTTGCTCAGAAAAGTTGTATGTCCTTGGTGAACATAGGTGAGTTCATCTATAGTTATCCTCTAGCTGCTAAAAGTGGCTAATGTGTGGCTTTTCTTTGGGTGTGAAATGAACATAGGTACCTTCACAGTTCTCACCATCTTGCCAGTAACCAAGGTTGACAAAATCAGTTACTCTTGTCTTATTTTGTTCATCTATTTTTAGAAATGCTTATATTCAGCTAGGTACTGATCACCTGGAGGTGTGTCCCTAGTAAGATGGTCTTTCTCAGAATCTGAGGACTGCGTGCTTGGTACATTTTAAATGTTAATGTTTAGTTTTTAAATTTTATTTAAGAGGATTAAAGCCTAATGTTTATTTTCCTACTTTCTGATAAGTATTTTGTGTACTTGGTTGAGATCCTTACTTAGGACGGAGTGACCTAGCTTTCTGTTCTCTGCTCAAGTTCTGAAACTGTGTACCTAACACACACACACAGACACATGCTCGCTTCCTTCCAGTGCGCTGCAGGCTGGCATGTGACTGGCCTGCTCAGGGTGGGCATGGATGCTACGGACTGTGATGGGGACCACAAACACTCAGGGGCTGCAGCAAGAACAGAGTCTGCAAAGGCTGGCCTGGGACTCGCCATAGGATCCTCTATATCTGTTATAAACAAAAAAACTGCCTACTGCATTTGTTTCTAATGGGGTACATAAAAAATTAGCAGCTGTGATTTTACTTTGCTTATAATTTTGAAAGATGTAATACTCCCATAATTAAAATTTCAATTTATACAGTTTCAAAACATTTTTCCCCTTTCCTTTAAATTATTTGGTCAAATACATATCCCAGCCTCACACCGAGGAAACAGAACTGGGAGTCACAGCTCTGCTTTTTACACAAGCTGCGAGTACATCTCCTCACCTCCCTGCAACTCAGCAGGAACAGAAAGGCTGCACAAGAAAAATAGTTTTCAAATAATTCCTGTTGAGTGTGTGTAGCCCTTCCCTTTTCAACTCAAGCTGCCACTGCTTGGAGGGCCCAAGGGACGGATGGGGCAGCTTACACGTGGGAAACCAGTTCACTGTGAGTTTCAGTCATCGGTCTGGAGAACACTGAACTATGGAGAATACTGAACTACATGCAGTGTGTCCTCACTTAGCAGTGTGTCCTCACTTAGCATGTCCATAGGTTCTCCAACTTCAAGGAAAACCACATATAATGAAACTAATTTTACCACCGGCTAATGGATACAGACAGGAGTTGGGTTCCTACGGCATCGCAACATTATAACAAAATACATTGTTTGAGGACCTGCCGTACATACTCACTGGAAACCAGAGTTGTTAACCATGGCATTTCTGGGTTTGGCATAAGTGCAGCCTGGACAGGTACAGTGTAGACAAGCGAGCCAGTGCTCGCTCTACTGACGGCCCTTCGCAGCTGGCCAGCTCCATGCTGATGCGCTTTCTCTGGGTGCCTGTCGGAGCAAGGGCTGGCGCAGGGGCTTCCTGCTGAACAGAAAGTAATTTTAACGGAAGTGCCGGCTAAAACATGCCACATGCTAGCCCGGAAAAGCTGCCTAAGGCCCGTGGAGCAGGTTCCAAGAAGCAGTCAGGGACACTTGTTCTCAACCTGTTTAATAAGGGCAGTGGAAACGGTCGAGTCGGTTTTGATACATTCCTGGAACACTGGCCATCCAGAGGGGATTCAGAATAGCTCACTTAGGGAACTGGACTCAAAGGTTGGAGTTTCAATTTTGAAAAGGCCTAATTCTGTGGGATTATGGTAACTAATGTATGAGAGCTGAACAGAGAAATGTAAAGGCTCTATGTTAACAGCAGGGTTGAGGGCTAACGTGACTGATAACTGAGTGGAAGGGATAAAGGCAACCAATCCCAAATCATTTCCCCTTGTAACAGAGTTAACACTTTAACATAAATTAATTATACATTCATTATGGTATTTTAAAACAGTCAAGCCTAAATAAATTCTTCATACCATCAAAAAGCTAAACATCCTAAAAGCCTGCTGCACGACGTTTTCCCCTTGACGGCTCTGGGCCTGGGCCACACAGCTACAGGGGCGTTTACTTCTCAAGCTGAATGAAAGTCTGGTGGTCATTTTATACAAAAATAAGACTAAATTTAAAACCTCACCATACTAGGCATCTGACAGAAAATCCACGAATGACGACACCAGAGTAGCTAAAGCCAGCGGTTCTCAAAGGTCAGCTTGCACTCAGGTGACCTAGAGGCTTGTACAACCGGCTCTGTGGGCCCCCTAGTTTGATTCCGGACTGGGCAGCGAGCGTCTGCAGTTTAGCAGGTTCCCAGGGGAGGCTGTGCTGCTGGTCCAGGAACCCTGGGTGGGAAGCACTGGCTTAGAAACCTGAAGCACCTCTGTCGAGGGCAGCTATCCTGCAGGGGCTGTGAGGTGGCCTTAGGAGTAATCCCCACTCAGTACTCCTCAAAGAGAAGTCCTGGGCTGAGTTAACGAGGAGCGCTTCTCTGCCGGCAAGCCATGTGCTCTACAACTAAAGCCACATACAATATACTTGAAATGTTTTATTTAATGCTGAAAAAGTTTACCCTAGGGGACAGAAAGATGTCAAAATAAAAAGGCACCGGAATTAAGTCATCCTTGGAAATGATGAGGGTCTTTTTCTTTCAAATAACTTCACTTTAATGTAACTTTAAGCCCAAACATCTGGAAGGTAAACAGTCTCGGTAGCTGTGTGGGCCAGAGAGGCAGATCAAGTGCGAGAGGAGTGACGTGTGCTGGGCCTGTGGTCACCACCGGCTCTAAAGCAAGGTCTTGGACATGAGAACCCTGAGCAACCCGGAAGACAAATGGCTACTCCAAGTGCCAAAGAAAGGTACCGTTTAAGAGGGCCCCTGAAAACACTTCTAACTAGGGCTGGTCCCAGCCACGTCCGAGTCTGGTTCAAGACAGTGACTCAGAGAAGCAGCACATGGGCCTTGGGCCCCATACCAGCCATGTGAGCCAGCCTATCTCTCCTGGTTGGGCAGCAGGGCCCGGGGCCACAAGAAGTTAAGATGCTTAGCCAGGCTGGCTTGTTCTGGGTTTCATTGAAAGACACAACTGGAGGACACTAACACCAGAACTCACAACTCTTAGCCATGAACTTTCTAAAGCAAGGTCTTGCAAGTAAAATGCACAGCAGGTACAGAGTAGCCAGCAGCTGCCCCTGGGAAGGGGCTGAGTCCCGGCCATCTCAGCTGGTCCTCTGGCTGCCATGCCTCCCACAGCCATCCTCTTACACTAGGGGGCGCTGCGGGGGGCAATGCCCATTTCCAAACAGCCCGAGGGGCTAACCAGAGTGCACAAAAGGGGTGGTTTTGGGATCTGGGAACTGCAAGCGCAAACTGTGCTGCTGCCAATAGTTCAGGGGAAGCCCGTTTGGTCACTGTTCACTGCCAGCCTCTTCCTCTGGTTCCAGGGGAACCTTAATCCCATCCTCCTCTGGCCTCACTGCCAACCTCCCCGGGGGCCCCATCTAAAGTGCCACGTGCAGGAGCCTGTGTCACAAGGTAAGGCTGGCAGCTGGCCGCCAGCACGGGTGGGGAACCAAAGGGAAAGGGCTCAGGGTGGGAAGTGCTCCCAGCTCATCACATTCTCAAACTGAACACAAAGGCAATCATCTTAACCCAGCACTTTCAGACTAAGGTTCAACACACCTGCATTGTTTCCCCCATGATCTGACCTAAGACTGTTGCTATTGCTTCTTTCAGAGGACCATGAAAAGAATGTATATCCTAAAAAAAGAAACTCAATTTGCTTAAAAAAGAACACTGGGGAAAAAGCGCTTCCTGCCCCTCCCCCCGCACCCGCTGTCATTTTGGCTCACAAGCGGTTTCAGCTTCATTCCAGCTCTGGGAGGACCGGCTTCAGGAGGCATCCCTGGAAATCCACCCACTCTCCGTGAGGAAGTTTAAAATCCTTTTCTTTAGGACTTTGTCCAAGTAACTAGGAAGGCGACTTTTGGAGGGGATTCCCTGCCGTTTCTGGAGGTGGTCTTTGATGATGATGGTCTTGGCAGTCACGTAGCGCGCGGGGCTCAGGTTGAGCGAGCTGCAGAGCGCCTTCTCGCGGTCGGACAGGAGCTCGAAGCCGGGCAGGTGCTCAATGGCGGCGAACTCCCCGTCCTTGGCGTCCTCGCGCCCCCGCTTGGCGCCCGCCGAGCTCCGGTTCTCCTTGCGCTTCTCCCGCTTGTGCCGGGCCGCCTCGTACTCCGCCGACTCCTCCATCTTGGTGATGCCGTTGCGCCGGTACCTCTGCAGCTCGCGGATCTTGGCGCGCAGCATCTTCTCCTTGTGCATGTTCTCGAACAGGTCGTCGAACTCCTTGCAGGACATGAACTGGTAGAGCGGCCGCAGCTTGAGCCGCAGCTCCCGCTCCTCCTTGGTGATCTTGCGCTTGGCCGCCTTCTCGCGCTCCTTCTTGTCCTTCCCCAGGAAGGCCGGCACCAGGTTGTAGTCGCGGGCGATGTTCTTGCGCCGCTGCCTCTCCCTGAGCTTCCGCACGTACATGTCCACGTGCGCGCGCTTGAGCTCGATCTCCACGTCGTCGTCGTCGTAGTTGACCGAGAGCCCGCTGATGAGCGTCTCGGCGTCCTGGTCGTACTCGATCTCGTAGTCGTCCCGCAGCGGCATGTAGCCCAGCTGCTGCTGCTCGGCCACCGAGATGTCTAGGGGAGGCAAGGGGGTGGTGAGGCTGGGAGAGAGGGGGCCTCCACTGGGGCAGGTGTGGTCGGTGACCCGGTTGGGGATGGTGTCGGGGATGCAGGCCTTCCCCAGGTTGCCGTGGATGTACATGCTTACGTAATGCTCCATCACTTCCTGGGGAGTCCGGGAAGCTCCGACGTGAGCGGCCATGTCTTCCTACAACACAAAGGTCAGAGTCATTTCCAAAGTCAGAGGGTCAGATTCAGGGTCGGCACAAATGCCCTTAACGTTTTTGCAAAAGTCACCTGGGCGAGTTCCTATCCCATTATCACCCCCTCCCAAGCGACAGTGAGGGCACCTTCTCGGGCTGTGCGTATCAGCTGGACCATGACGCTAGGAGGAAACTTCAGACACTCTGAACACGACAAAAATGAAGACCCAGAGACTGTGCACTCGCCTGGGCTCAGCGTAACCTGGTGGCAGAGCTAAGACCAGAACCCCTACCTGAGATCTGGACACATCTCCTGATTCCTGAAATAGGACTAGCAGGCGCACCTGGTCCTGGCATTCTGCCCCAGCTAATCCTGTACTCTGACGGTGGGTGGCTGTTTGTGACTGGACAGGACACAGGTGGGCAGGGCCACAGGGCACTTAGGTGCCGCGTCTCCTCCCAGTCTAACCTCTTTATTCCCAGACTAGAGAACAGACTGGTCCAGAGTTCATGGCCCAGTTCCCTTGACTACAAGAGAAACCCCATCCTACCATGCTGCCTGCCTCTGGGGACAGAAAGGGCAGAGCCTGTCACCGCTTCCCTGGCTGGGAAGGGTCACCTGTCCCTCTCCTAGGTGGTGGTGTAAGTGAATAGGTGAGTGCCTTTTAAGGGTGGGTGGGGGCTTCATTTATGACCGCCTTCATACTAAGGTATGAAAACCTGCCCAGGGCTGCAATCACTTGCTCCTGCGAGAAGGTAACCATGAACACCGGGTTATTAATGGGAGGAAATTGTACAACTCCCTCAATCTTTTCCTTCTGCCAAGAGACTTCTTCCTTAAACTCAACCGCTAAAGCCACTTCAGAAAGCAACTGCCCAAAGTGCTCACTCATCCCCCAGCAGCCACTCAGCACCCGCCACAGCCTCCCTCACTCTCACTCCGCTGCCTTCCACCCAGCAACACTCACCCCTGCAAGACTGGGTGGTCTCTGCACCCCCAAAGGCCAATAAGCCTGCTGCTCCCCTCACCTCAGCAATCTATCTTTAGAGAGTCAACTGCTCAGAGCACATTTGGGTAAAATGTAAATCCAGAAAGAACAGAAGGGTTCTGAGTAATCAAGGGGTATCTGACCAAACGGAGCCTATTTGTTCTTGTTTTCATTTATCTCCATCAATTTCAACACTCTGGGAGCAGAGAACAGAGAACAGGCAGCAAGGAAGCCTCAGGGCAGGACCAGAGCAGGGGATGGGCGGGCCACATGCCAGCACGCCCCCACCCCCCAAGTGTTCTGTAGGCCACACACCAGTTGGTCTCCTGGGCCCGGCAGGCAGGCCAGCCAGCTGTGGGCACTGTGCTGTCACCCCGGCTGTCCAGGTCCTCTTTAGGTTTCAGAAGGGACTCTGCTCTCAGATACCATTTATGAAGCCACCAGAGGGGCAGGGCCTTGCCCACAGAAGCCCAGGAACTCCCATCATCCATCAGTCTCAGCCACTGCCCAAGGACAGCTGGCAGGCCTCGCTGGGAGGCAGGCCCTCAGCCACTTCTGAAAGACACGCACCCCTCAGGGCACCACATCACTTTAATGATCAGTCAGAAAGGCCCCGGAAAACACACAAGACCCTGATTTTCAAGATCTGTGAAATGGAGAGTGAAGATCATCACGGACCAGTCCAAACAAGAATGGGAACATAGCTCTGATTCTAACAAGTACTCAGGGGAAAGACAGGTTCGGTGGAGCTAATTAGAGAAGATATTAGCACCAGCCACTGCTCCCGCCGTGTGCGCCTGGCATTCTGCCCCTCACATTCCAAACATTTTCTCCAGTCTTTCCTGTGTTGACGGTCACACAACACTGCCTACCTCCTGTGAGAGTGTCCTGTCAGCATCACGGCATTACACGACAGCAGCAGACTGACTAGAGGCCAGTTCTTTCCCTCACAGGGCCAAGGTCAAAGTTTTTGCTTGATCTGGGAGGATGGCTGGATGGATGGCGAGGCAGAGCAACAGAAGTGTATTTGGAGGAATGAGATTTGGAGAGAGTTCAACTCAAGTACAACTGAAACAGGAAGCACACTACGCTGAAGCGGGCTCCCACCGCAGCACGCAGTTACGCGGGTACGCAGCCCAAGCCCGCGAAGCAGGACTCCAGGTCAGGTTTTTCCTTCATGTTCTCTTAAAAGAAAAAAATACTCCAATCTTTGGAAAAAGAGAGACAGGTATGCGGCCTCATTAAAGTCCATTGAAAAAAGGGCAAAGGTGTCTCGGACACGAGGCCCACGATGTCTACTTGTCATGGTCCCCACACGGTCCCCTCCAGGAAAGACAGTGAGCTTCCCACTGAGTAATGACCACACCAGGTCCCTGGCTGGCCTGGCCTCCGTCCTGTCTTATCACGGCTCCCTCAGGCTGGCCTCTAGACCTGAGCAGGAGGAGGAGGGAGAGAACAGTCCAGAGAAATCACCGTCAGTGTGGGTCGGCCGGCTCCCAGCAGTGGGGCCTGCTAGGGCTTTGTCTCTCCAGGCTCTGACCAGGGTTACATCCTCCTGTTCCTACCTGGACGTCTCCACACCGTGGCTCAACGGGCCAAACTTTTGGAGGCTCCCATCATCAAACCCACTGCCTCACACTGGGCTGGCCATGATCAAGGGTGAAATTTAGAAACACAGGGAGGGACAACACAGATTTTCCTGAAAGCTAAACTTTGCCATTTAAAGGATGGTCCTTCACCCCAAGATCACATCCTCACTATTCAGGGCATATTAGATAATCTTTCTTTTTGTGAAATGGTGTTAGTTAATGGGGTCTTTAAAAAACTTTTTAATATCCTTACTTGGCAAACTTAAAGTTAGCAATTCTACGTTTTCTTTCAACATGGTCTACAAATCCGCAGGCCTGGACAGCGCTCTTCGGTCAGGTCAGGCAAAGTCCTCCATGCACCCTCAGGGGCCCTGCAAGATCTGTCCCACCCCGCCCCTGCTGGAAACACCCTTTCTCCGGGTGCAAAGGCTCTAGGGCCAGCCTTCGGGGTTCCAGTCCAGGCTCCACCCAATGAGCTGAGGAGCTGGAACACGTTACTTAGCCTCTCTATGCCTCAGCCTCCTCTGAGTTACGAAGGTGCTGCATGACATATTCACAGGACAGGGAGGAGTTAATGGAGTCCTGCCTGTGCAGTGAGGCCAGTGCCAGGCACAGTCTGTGCTCCCTCCATGGTGGCTACTGTCACTTCTATGAAGCTGAGAGTGTCACTTCCACAGGACCTGGGTCACCTCCTCCAGGAAGCTGCTGATGATCCCCAGAGCTCGGTTCAATTACTTCCCAGCTGTGAGAGCCTCATCCTGTCAACTTCTGCTTCTCGATGGGTAAGACCTCCCTCTCAAAGGGCTTTGTGGAGACGGAATAAAAATCATGTAATGGTAACAGCTAACGTGTGAGCGACTACAAAGATCTTCTCATTTAACTCTCCTCACAATCCCCACTGGGCAGGATGAGCATTGGCCACACACTTTACAGGACAGGAGGAGAAATTTAGGTTGAGCTGCCCCCAAGGACACCAGGCCAGTAAATGTGAGCCCGTCTGCATGGCAGGCAGTCCCACTGCAGAGCGCCATCCCTGTCCCCATGCTGCCTCCGAGTTGCAATGCTGATGATACACACGTAGAGGTGTCTGTAACCAAGTGCATCCTGACACTTTAAACAGCAGAGTGAGGCCCGACCAGGGGGCTGCTTCTGTCCAGACAAGTGTGCCAGGAGTGCCACCACGCCTTAGGCAGTGGCTCAACTCCAGGCTCTGGGTGCGGGCACTGTGGCACCTGCCTCTGCCCAGTGCAAAGGACTCAGTTCAGTGTCCACACACACATCAGCACCTCTGGCAGAGCGGCTTCTATCTTTAGCCTCACAGCCGATCCTCCCATACAGGTGGGTGGTTCTGCTGGGAGCATTCTGCAGGCCACTGCAATCACCCATCACACCCCTTCTCGCCAGCAGGGCTGGCCTGGGAAGCGCAGGCAGAGGCTGGCTTTGCTCCCACGTGCTCTGGAGCCAGGCCTAGGGGTCCACGGTGGGGGAGTCTTCCTTTTCTTTACATGGAGAAGCATCCAGGGGCAGAAGCAACCAGAGGCACACAGCATGAAGCATGAAGCTGTGGCTCCCATGAGAGGCTCTAAGGGCAGGGAAACCCCAGGAGCAGCAGGGTACAACTGTGGCAGCACTGAGGTGGTGGAGGGGGAGCAGATGCCTGCAAGGCCAGGAGAGGAGTCTCCAAGGGATGTAGTGTGTCCTGAAGGATGGGGAGGGACCAGTCCAGCTCCAAGGGAAGAGTGAGGCAGGAGCCATGGCTCAGGGTGTCTTGTGGTCCTGGGCAACTGCAAGACCATCAGACTAGGAGCCCTGGTGGGGGCCCTCCTGGCTGACCCCACACCCCTTGGCTCATGTCTGCTGACGGGATACGCCAGGACACTGACCTGTCTCTCACAAGCTGCGTGGCATAGGCCAGCTGGGCTCAATCTCATCCAGCCTGTCACTGGCCTTGCCACCTCGCAGGCTCGTCTGTGTGGAGCAAGTAAGGGGCATGTGAGCAGGTAATCCAGGGGGGTCCTCCCAGGACAGTGCTGTGACTGACCCTGAATATCTCTTAGTCACTCCTACACCGTCTCCTTTCCCACAGGCTACACACAGGCATAGGACACGGGCCCTGCCCTCTGCTTTGTCTACCCTTGGCCTCTCTGTCTGCATTGATATCATGTCGCACCACACTCGCCTCAATGCCACCGCTCTAGGCACCTGCTCAGTCACTGGTCTAGAAAGCAACCATGGGTGCAGGCTTCCCGCCAGTGTCTCCCAATGGGGCCTCCCAGCAACTGAGGTCAGCATAGACGGCAGCTAGCCTGTGGGCTGAGACTCAGCCCTCCCACGGTGGGACCCTGGACAGGGTCATTCTCTCTTCCAGACTCACTGTCATCTAAAGTGACAAGAACAGCCCGCTTGCCTCAAGGGGGCTGAACTCCCACTGGCCTGCACCACCCCCTCCATCCATGTCCTCCAGACCCTCCATCTTCCCTGTCACTTCCCACTCAATAGCCCCAACCCTCCAACAAGGATGCTGGTCAGCAGTGCCACCTCCGACATCATAGGTTGATGACTAACAATGGCTTTCCATGTGTCCTTCCCTGTCAGGGACCCTATTTTCCTTGTCTACCACTCTTGCTTGTTGGTTTTTTTTTCTGGAAATTTCTGTAAGCCTCAGGTTCAGGCTCCTGTTGTCCTCTCTCTCTCTCTCTCTCTCTTTTTTTAACATATCTTTATTGATTTCAGAGAGAAGAAAGGAGAGGGAGAGAAATAGAAACATCAATGATGAGGGAGTCGTCATTGATCAGCTGCCTCCTGCACGCCCCCGACAGGGGATGGAGCCCACAACCCGGGCATGTGCCCTGACCGGGAATCAAACCCCAATCGCCTGGGGTCCTGTGAATCCGGCCATGGCTGAGAGCCACTACTCTGCACAACCTAGTCACTCGGCTGCTTCCTTACCCAGGCTCCTCCCTGCTCTGCCCACCCTAACAGCAATTCCTGAAACCCCACTGTCAGATGCACACAGAGGGACTCCCCCGCAGTGACAGGTGACCACTCTCACGGTTCCTGAACGCGCTTCCAGGGACCCACCGTGTCAGGCTCCCTGGGACTCTCTCTGTAACCCTTTTCCAGACTCTCCCACGGAGATGCGGACTCGGGAGGGCTGGGTAGTCTCTAGGAATCGGGGATCCTCAGGCGACTGTACTGTGCACCAGGTAAGTCAATGAACTAGAAGGTTCTAGGCATAGAGCCAGACCCATCTCAAACTCTTCCACTGCCTACAGCTGCTTCCTCATTTGTAAGTGAGGGACTAGGGGCTGTGGCGGGGAAGAGAGTCAACATCAGAGGCCCAGCTCAGAGCCTGGTGCTCAGCACACACCCGCGCTTGGCAGCGGCTCAGTCTGAATCCACTTCAAAGCCCCGCTGCGCCTTGGTGGGCTGGCGCTCAGGATTTCCAAAACGTAACCCCGCACACCCTTACCTACCTGTCCTGGCTCCTTAATACACCTGCCTCCTGGAACACGGGGAGCCCCTTGTCCACACTACCCTTCCACAGGGAAAGCCTTCTCTCCTTTCCACCAAGCAAGACCCTGTGTTGATGGAGCCACACGGCCTCGTACAAGGTGACAAAGCTGCCTCACTTCTACCCGTTTCCACCACAAAGCACAGGCTGGGGAGAGGCTGGGCCTCTGGCCCAGGAGCTGAGTAAGTGCTGAGTGAATGAATGAGAGGAACTAAATGCACAATGTGGCGACTATCTCCTCATCTGTGCTTCCCCAGCCTCTGGGTGTCCAGTCGTCTCCAAAAGTAAAAGGCTTCATTCATGACACTCCCGTGTCCCCAATAGTTACCCTGAATGTATGTACACTGGCACAAGGCCCTGCCCAGTATACTGAGAATTTCACGTACTTTAAAAAAAATTTTTTTTAATATAGCTTTATTGATTTCAGAGAGAAGGGTGGGGGGAGAGAGATAGAAACATCAATGATGAGAGCCATTGATCGGCTGCCTCCTGCCAGCCTCCTGCGGGGGATCAAGCCTGCAGCCCAGGCATGTGCCCTGACTGGGAATCAAACCTCGATCTCTTGGATGATAGGTCGATGCTCAACTACTGAGCCACGGGGGCCAGGCAAAAAATTTTTTTGTAACATTTTGAAAATAAGCTGCAACCTCACGCAACATTACCTCCGAGTGATTTTGTATGATTTTCTTACCAACAAGGATATTCTCCTGCATGACAACACCATAAAGATTAGGAAGCTAAAAAGATGCATCTAAGCCTCTGTCCCCACTGAAGCTTTGCCAGTTGCCCCAATAATGTCCTTTGCTAGCAAAAGGCCCAACTGAGAATCACGTATCGTGCTTCATTCTGCCCAGTCCTCAGCCTGTGATCTTCCTCACCTGCGTGGGCTCTAACGCTGAGCTGTCGTCCCCCCCCCCCAGAGATGGCCTCCTTCCTCACTCAGCCTGTGACACCCTGCACGGCCACCCTCCCAACCTCCGATGCCTTCCTCACTCCACCCAAATGCTGCCATCCATGCTGGGAAGCCCTCATCACACTTCCTGGGCTACGGAACCTCACACCACCCCCTGCATGGAAGCGCTGCTCACCCCAGTAAGGCTCTGACTTCACAGGGACTTCTCCTCAACCTCCCACTGCTGTATGGACACCCTCTGTCCCCGCTCAGGCTAGTGCGCCACCTACCCGGCTACCCAGCTACCAGTCTACAGAGAACTCACATACTTTTTAAATTCAAAATCTGGCTTCAAAGCCAGCTTGAACCCCACACCCTCTAAAGTTCTGACCACCACCTGCAGAGGAGCTCTGGCCATCCTCAAACTGTTCGATTCTCCCCCACAGCTCACCTCCCAGTCTTGAACTGTCATAAATACTTCACGCCTGGGGTTCGCCTCTGTGCCCGTGTTCCAGCAGGACCTGCACTTCTGGGAACCGCATAGCACCCAGCACCAAACAGCTGCCCTGAGGCTCCCAAAACCCCTGTCGACATGACAGTGGGTCACTGTATGCCTGCCGACCCTTCCCTGGTCTCGTTTCATAGGCCTCTCTCCCCACCATCCTCTCTACAGCTCATCATCAAATGCATGCTGCTCGTGTGGCCCATCCAGGCGAGGTGAGCACGCAGCGCTCCAGCCTCCTCCTGAACCAGAACCTGCCAGGGAGAAGGCCTCTGGCTGCCAGACCCAAGCACCCCCTCCTCCAGCTGTCTCCTCTAAAAGCTGACGCGGCTCTGAGGGGGAATTGCATTTTAATCAGCTCCCCAGGTGACTCGTGTGCGCATTCAAGCTTGAAAAGTACTGCTTTAGACAACGCCCCCTTCCAGCCCCATGTTTCCTCCAAAACAGCATAAATGTTTTAGACCCTGGGCTTGTTGTTCATGTGTTTTCCCACAGTGCTGCAGGGGAGGCAGTGTAGACAGTGCAGCCAGGAGCACACACTCTGAAGCCAAACTATTCCATTCAAGCCGCCGCACAGGCTGCGGGGAGACCTCGCGGGGCATGCATAGCGCCTGGTATTCAGCAAGGCCCCAGCCTCACCAGCTAGTTCAGCTGCCACTGCAGAGCTCCGTCCTGTAAGGGGGGAAGGACTCTCCCCGAGACACTGCCGTGTAAGAAGACCAGTTACCAACCATAACTTGGGAGAAGAGACCTCCAAGCAGGATAAATAAAAAATGATCAGGGGGTCGCAGCTGAGATTCCACAGGTCAGCAGACACCGTAAGGCCTCACAGGCTGCGAAGTTTAAGCAGGTCTGGGAGCCACTGAGGGATGTGATGTGACAGGTCTTCAAAGAGCACTGATTATGGCGTGAAATGGGCCGTAGGGCTCAAGGTCGAAGCAGGGAGACCAGATGGGAGGCCCCAGAAGTGGTCAAGGCAGGTGAGAAACATCAGCCTGGACTATATACAGCTGGACTACTTATGGCTGTGAGAGGTGGCTCAATTCTGGGACTATTTTGAAGGACCATTTTGCTGCTGAATGGGACCTGGAAGAAGAGGCTGAGGATGGCTCTAGGTCTGCAGCCTGTCACTAAGTGAGGTGATGTGAGATTTGTCTGAGACGTCCCTAGGGTAGCAGGAGAGGACACGGGGTAGCGGTCTGACAATGAAGGCCGGAAAGTGGGGAAGGGCTCCAGTCTCAGGACCCAGTGATTACAACCCCTGAAGACAAGGCCGAAGCCTTTCTTTCCTTCAGTCTCTCACTGTCCCATAACGTGCTCAACACACATCAACTAAGAGCATTTTGGGACAAAGCGACGATGGTTTCGGGAAGAGTAGAGATCCTGACGCTGGTGCACAGGTGCGAAGTTGTACAGCGGTGTCTAAGGAGTTGGGAGGAGAGTCAAGAACCCAGGGTGCAGAATGGGTATCGGTCCCTGGAGACGGGCTCACTTTACGGAAAGGAAAGCAAAAGGAAACAGAAGCAGGACAGGTTTGGGGACGAGGGGAGGTGTGTGGTGTGTCTTCTGCAGGAAGCCCAGCAGGAGGGGAGCACCGCTGGAGAAGGGGCAAGAAGGGGCCCATCACGTGGAAGGATCTGGAAAGATTAGGGGGCCTGGGTCGTGTCCCTCCTCCCTCCTCATGATGCCCGGAGGCAGCCACTCACCCGTGGCAGTTGCAACCAGAGACTTTTCCTTTCTAACCCAGACAGAAGCTCCCTCTTCCAGAGTGGAAAGGGCTCCTCGGACGGCACCTGGAGAAGAGCACCCCCCTTCTCTCCCAAGGAGCCTGGCACCCCACCCTGCTGGCGAGGACGAACCCAGGCCAGCGCTCCCCTTTCCCTGTCGGACAGCAGCTCTACAGACACCCTCTCACGGAGAACAAAACCCGGCCACGCTCCTTTGTTCCGTTCCTCCTGACCACTCTCCACACAACGTCCTGGGTGCTGGGGACCCGGGATACGCACGTCCCCGGCCGGGCGAGGGGCACGGGGCACATCCACGCGCGGACAGGCGCACAAAGCGAGCGGGGCCAGGAGCGCAATTAAGGGCATCGGCGACGGTGACAGAAGCCCCAGGGCGCGTGTGACGCTTGCCTGGCCTTGGCCACCACTGTCCTCCAGGCAAAGCCAACTCCTTCCTCGGGGCGCCAGGCCGGCTGACCTGCCGACGGCCACCTGCCCCGGCTCGAGTCCGGCGCCGGGTCCTGCCCACAGTCCGCACTCGGCAGCCACCTAGGAAGTGCGCCTAAAGGTCAGGAAAACGGCTCTGCCGCCTGACAGCCGCGTCCAAAGCCCTGCTCTGCAACTTCCTGGCTGTGTGACCTTGGGCCGGTTGCTTCACGTCTCTGCGCTCCGGTTCCCGGGCCCGCGCGCGGCCCCCGAGGAGCAGGT